AGGGGCTCCATTAAAACAGAGGTGTTAGAAAAGTCTACACGGGGAGAGATTCCAATATTGTTGCCATGGGGAATTTGAAGGAGACCCGCCACCAGGGAAATGTTGTCAACTACTCTACTTAGGTGTCAGTACACCTTGGATTTTTAGTTAGGAGCTCTTGCAGTACTACTGGTCTGTCATGTCTGAAGAAAATTGGAGGTAGTAAGGGCAGCAAAATTTGCAGTTCATTTATTGATAACAGACACAGCACCTCTTGCACTCCTTCTACTTCTACTCTGTTGTAAGAAGCTATAATTTTCACCAAGAAAGGGATGAAAAATGAGATTAAGAAAAATGAGATTAAGCATATTTTCAAAGCAGGACTTGCTACACCTCTGCAAATTTTCTATTGTGGGTTTCATTTTCATGAAAGTTAGAAATATTTCTTCTGAAAAAATGGATGATGCTATAAAGCCTAAAATTGAAAGTTCATGGATGAATGTCTTAGACATAGCTTGGGGAAAGTGTATTCCGATGACTTTCCATTCAAGAACTACAAATTACTCTATATATATATATATATATATATATCGGTTACTCAATTTTTTCCCTTTGCTTTATAGGTAATTAGGAAAATAAAGTAAAGAAGATTCTGTAATATCATGAAACCAATACCTAATGGTGATTTAATTAACAATAAGGTTTGCTCATATTTTGTTAGGTTAATGAGAAGATAATTTTTTATAAATTTTTTTAATTTTGGATCTTTGACCGAGCCAATAAAAATTAATCTTAAGATATGACTAATTTTGCTTGAAGACATGCTAGACCTAAACCAAAAAAATAAAGTAATAATAATAATGAAACCAATGGCTTATAGACAATTAGACCTTCTAGAAATGCTCTTCCAATTTCAAAGACAACCACATATGCCATTCACCAAAACCAATGGCTTTTAGTCAATCAGACCTTCTAGAAATGCTCTTCCATTTTCAAAGATAACCACATGTGCCATGCACCAATTTTACATACAAAGACAGTTTCTCAATTTACAATGCAAGAAAATGACAGTTATAACCATTAATGGGAGGCGAGATGGGTAATTTTCCCT